CTGTTATTGGAACTGAAAATCCATGGATTGAAGCAGCATTACTTGAATATAATGCATCAAGTGTTACAACGATTGAATATGCAACTATTCATTCGAATATTCCTCGTCTATTTACGATAACACCAATGGATTTTGCAAAAAAACAGCAGAATAATAAAAGTCGACGACAATTATTTGATAGTGTATGGTCATATAGTAGTATTGAACATGATGGTCTTGGTCGATATCGAGATCCATTTAATCCATATGGTGATTTTCAGACAATGGTAAAAATAACATGTATTCTTAAACCTGGAGGATTTCTATTTTTGGGTGTACCACTTACCGTTCAAGATCTAATCCAATTCAATTTACATCGTACATATGGACCTATTCGTTTACCACTTTTATATCGAAATTTTCACATTGTTGAAATGTTAGGCACAGCAATGGAAACAACAAGAGGCTCCTTTGCTGCTCAACAGTTTGTTGTTTTGCAAAATAAAATAGGATGTAAAACTTCCTAGCAAAATGAAATTCCAAAAAACAAATGACAATATGGAAATTTGGATAGTCCTATGGATTTTTTTCTAAATAAATTATATGACATTTTTAGGATAAGACTTTTTGTGATAATCCAACGGCACGACTGTATTGAACAAATAAAGTAAGTAAGACATTGACTAAGCTTTACACGCGAAACTAGATGATTTCTTGTTGTACAAAAGAGAACATTGAAAAGGTTCTTTTCATGAAGCAACATGAAATACACCTTGTTTCATTATTAAATTTCAATCTACTGTATGGAACAATAATTGATAGCTCGATATGCTTTAGAAAGAAATCCCATTATGATATCATCATTTTACGACTTCGTGTTAGCTTTAAGTTAAATAAAAACTATCTTATCCTACTTGTTACTATAAGTGAATAAATAATGATATATGTCTACAATTAGATAAATTCGTTCATTGGTTTCATAAATCATTAATTTCAACAGATATCAATGCGATAATAGAAATATTATTAAAAATCTACAAAATGATCTTGTCAGGAAAATCCTCAATTGGACTTTCATACGGACTGAATGTATTGAAAAATTTTTCTTTCATAATTGCTAAAACTATTACGATAACGGAACAAAAGCAAGTGTTTTCGTCAAAGATGAGCATGTCATCTAGATAAATGTAAAATGACACAATTAAACATTTACTAGTGATTATCGAGAAAAGACAGAAGTCATATTCCACTTAGAAAAAATATGCTAGAATCATGCATTTCGATTACATGATAGTCATATAATCTCAGTTTTGGCTTATATGTCACCTTCAGAGATACAGACTTATTCAAGTTTAATTGAAAAATAATATCGTATTTTTTGCTTTAATAAAAACAGGGCAGAAAGACCAAAAACTTTTAGAACATTGTAACGGTTTGACTTTTCATTTGATTGTTTCTCTATTTCTACATGTAATAATTCATTATCAAAATGAATTAGTATGATGAAAGATAAATCAACAATGTCTAATAAATACACACTTTATTGTATTTCTATATAAATGTACTTTCAATTCGAAAGATTTAAATATATATTTAAGATTTAAAAATTCAAAATTCATCAGTGCACATCTTTTATGCGTAATGTACTTTTGAAATATTTCTATTGTAGCGAAACGCAAAATTTAACACAATCAACCGTATAATGTATGTCTTTGATGTTATTTACCTATTCTCTTATTGTGCAGTAAAAGCTGTTGTATCATATATTACCTTACTTTACTATTCTTTTCTTTCCTTCTTTTTGGAATATGTCGTAGCAAGGTATAAACTTAGTAACAATCAAGAATTTTTTAGACATTGAATTCAATTTTTTCTATATAAATAAAATTTATTATTCTGTAATATGATCTATATGTTTAAGTCAATTTCGGACATTTTGAGATTGTTGGTACTTTTTCTTAATTGACATGAATAAATATAATCGTTAAATATTAAAGAGTTTTGCCATGTTATACTTTTGTAAAATAACCGTTCCAAAGATTTTTAACTATTTCAATAAAATATAAGGTTCTCTTTAGACTGTATACTTTTTTATGTGTCTGAACAAAGAATACAAAATTTATCTTTTCTTCTCAATTTATTCTACATAACACTAAATACATAAAATAATAATTACCATATGATAACAAAAATAAACACATTGCTCAATTCTTCTTCCATATTTTACGTGTGAGTGCATACTAGAGAAAGAACATTTTAACTTTAACCATTAATGATATCAAGTGATGGGAACTTCGTTCGCAGATGTATCTGTATTCCATAATCAGTTCTTCTTTTCAGTATTAATTTGATTACAAAATCTGTTCAAGATTTTATTGAATAGCCTTTACTTCATGTAAAAAACTAGCAAACAACCACATTTTGTTTTCATCTTGATGACAAAATAAAGTTCAAAAAAAGATTAGCAAAATATATGGCTGAGGTTAAATTAAAAAAAAATTTCCAAAAGCTGGAAGTACTTTCAAGTCATTCGAAGTAACTGAAGACCAATTTTCAGTAGTTCAAGCTAAGCTTGACGTACCCAAAACTGTGTAGTGCTAATGAACTTCAACCATAAATATAGCTTCTTTCTATCACGTATTGCGGTTCAAATAAATGAAGACGAGATACAAGATTCGAAAATATTGAGATCTTGTTTATTCCGAGAAGAGAAAATAGAAAGTTAACGAATAGTGACTAGTATCATAACTAGAATGAAGCGAACGGAAAGAACAGAAGGAAAACAACAACACAGAATAGATAGAACGGGCTATATATATATAACCATATATACTGACGTTGGAATATACCGAAGAACGAAAGGAAATGACCTAGTGAATTCAAGGTTACATGTATATCATAGGAAAAATCCAATAGAATAAGAAAATAGAATGGAATACTTCCCATGATGTTTGTTAATACATCACAGTTTCTATCTAGAATAAAACTACAATTTTTTTCTATTTTGGTTTCTTAAGAAAGTTCTTGTCCTCTTCAATAAAAGGCACTGTTAAAAAATGGAATTTGCTGCAATCCAAATTGTAGATCATACTAATACATTCTCGATCGAAGATTTTAATGTCACTAACCATGATTATGTCGATTTTCATCACTGATTTATTATACGATTTCAAAGATGTAGCATCATTCTTCAGTCACAATAGTTCCTTTCGATTTATAAGCATTAACTTATCAGTTTTTCATTAGTAGTTTTATTTATTTGTAATACAATAGAAATCAAACCATTTCAGTTTACGCTGGCAACTATGCTTGGACTATAATATAAATAATAATGGACTTGTTTCATTTTGTTTTCTTTCATGTATTTCTACATCGAGACTTTGTTAAAAATAAATTTTATTATATTCTTTATTTTGTTTAGTGTTCAATATATGGGGTATGGCTTGAAAACAGTTTATCATCTACAGATAACTTTGTTTCAACAATTCCTCATAAGCTTCAATCATATTTAATACTAAATTAATTTCAGAACAATACTGTACATCACACAAGATTTTAATGGAACTGATACTTTGTATGTTAGATGACAAGTTGGCTTTACTAAAGGAAATC